TGCCAACAGAATAGAAAATTGTGTGGTACGTTTTAGTCTGTATCTCTGGATTGCGGCCGGGTGTATAAGAGGAAACGATTTCGCACGATGCCAGGTGGATGTACTGTGTACGATTTGAGCTCAAGTTGGTTGCGTTACGCGTAGTAAATCGTAGGTATTTTAAGGCTAGTAAATGACAAATTTCCCTTGTTTATTGATGTCACACTCCTCCCCTATTATAAATTATTATCTACTCCTGATATATATATATATCAGAAGTAGATAATAGGGAAGGAGTGTGACTTCAATAAACAAGGGAAATATTCAGGTAATTTTCGAAAGGGCCTCTAAGACTAATGTGTTTCTTGTACTGTTGACAGTGTACTGTGTAGTTGTATTGGCGGCCCTAGGGGTGGCGCCACTCCGCCGCCAGCCTCAGCCTGGCCCTGAGGCTGAGCCGCAGGCTCTAGAGACTAGAGCTAGCAGTAGCAGTGATGGTTCTTACGATGCCGCCCCTACTTAGGAAGAGCTAAGCTCGTAATACCTACCTATAGGCTATATACGGGCGTAACCTGTGACAGGTTTTTAAAATAATTTAACATAGCCAACTATATCGTATCCGTATCGTAAATAAAAAACAGTAGGAAAGCCAGTCTGTTGTTGTTACTCGACTTTTGTTTTTCCCTGAAAATTTTTGGTGAAACGAATAAACCGGATGGTTTACGGCACGTAGTACTAGTAGTTCTGGATTAAAATGGTGCGCTACTTAATATACTCAATAAGCCTAAAATAGATAGATGTGATATATTTGTATCAATATTGTTGTCATAGGTATATACTTTTCATAATTTACGGAACTGCACTCTGTGACTGTAAACTGACACTACTACTTTTATTGTGATTAGTTCTCACAATTGGCACCCAGCTATAAAGGTCGCTTCGATCGCTCAACGCCCTCGTCCCTCAGGCTCATGCTCAGGCCGCGGAACTGAGCTTTTCATATAAATTAATTTTGACCGGCGAGCGTGGGAGCGGTTTAGAAATTTAACAAGGTTATTGGACAGTACCGCAGATAGTACCTAGCCTATGTAATTTATCAGTGACTTAATTGTTTGTAAGTGTTGACTGTTGAATAGATAATAGACGTGATCGTATAATTTATCGACTTGTTGTTCTAAATACTCGATCATTTCTATTCTAATCAGTTTTCCCACAGGCGTCTTGTTCTGAGACGTCATGTCGACATGTGATTGTGACTTGTGAGTCATAAACTCATACTCATAGTGATAGTAAATAAATTATATACTAATGTTATTTTCGGATGAAGCCTACTGTTTATGACCAAAGATTTTAATCATAGGCTTAGGATTAGATTACTGATTAGGGATAAAGTGATGCTTAGCCTTATGATTGTGTTTCTGGGAGCCGTGATGTGATTACCATTTTTGCAGAAGCATATCGCTTATTGCATAATGCAAAATTACAGCAATTTGGCTTGTATTGGTATGCTCCTACAAATCCTTCCATCAGTCCCACCGCGAAAAAGCCCTGATATACCATGCAGAGATTTTACCGCCTCTAAATACTTCAAGTCATGAGAATTCCATAGTTCGCCGAACGCGTGCGAACACGCTCAACACGAACCTTTCCTCGTTTCAGCGTCCGTGTCATGCGGATTCGTCCGACACCGCCTCGCCACATCAGTCTGCTCGCCGCGACCCTTGACGACGACGACGACCTCGCCTGACCCAACTTCCGCCGCCTCCCAAAGTTGCGATGGCCCTCGCCAGCAAGACGAAGCACGCGCTGCACTGCTGCGCATGCATCGGCTTCATCGTCGGCTTCCAGCTGTTCGCCGGCGGCATCCGCACGGGCCGGCACCGCTTCGACGACGTGCGGCCGCTCGAAGACTACGGCGTCGTGCTCACCGTCATTCTCTACGTACTGCGTCTGCTCACGCTACTGCCGCTGCCAATGTGCATCTTCGAGTTCGTCGGGCTACTGTTCTTCAACGCGTTCCCCGAGCGGCCGACGCTGAAGGGCTCGCCGCTGCTCTGCCCGCACGTGTGCGTGCGCGTGGTGACGCGCGGTGACTACCCGCAGCTTGTGCGCGACAACGTCACTCGCAACGTCGCGACCTGTCTCGACGTCGGCATGGACAACTTCAGCATCGAGGTCGTGACAGATCACGCGGTCCGTCTGCCGAAGAGCGCGCGCGTGCGCGAGATCGTTGTGCCGTCGTCGTACAAGACAAAGTCCGGCGCGCTGTTCAAGGTGAGTTAGGCGCGGCGTCGCCGCCGGCATCGTCGCCGCGAAGTATTTACGTGCGGTTTTAAGCGGAGGCACGACGCTTTCGCGTGCAGTTTTGAGGGGAGGTACAACGCTTTCGCGTGCAGTTTTGAGGGGAGGTACAACGCTTTCGCGTGCAGTTTTGAGGGGATTGGGTTCAGCGATGAGGTGCTCCTATATAGATGCATTTCTAATCTGGCATTCATGGGTGCCACGTGTACGTGTGAATTCTAGTGTATGACGCGCGCCTAAACCCTGGATCCGTGTTGTGGCAAAGGCCAAGTGGCCAAGTGGCCAAGTGGCACAGGCCAAGGGCTGACACATGCTGTGAGCTGATCATTGAGCGAAAGCCATGTTAGTGTTAATCACCAGCGTAGGGGGTACAAGTCCACACAGTTGATTATGTGTGTTGTGCTAGGAGTATTTGCCTCGAGTCTTTTGTCACTTTGTTGTATTATTGTATAGCCCCCCTAACACGTTTGTGTCGGAATTAGTGCTAGTAAACGGTTGTTGGTGGCATTTTCTCCATTCTCTCTCTCTCTCTTTCTTCCCCCCTCCACACACTCTTTCTCTTTCTCTCTCGCTATGGCTGTGTATATCACTCTCTCTCTCTCTCTCTCGCTCTCTCTCTTTCTTCCCCCCTCCACACACTCTTTCTCTTTCTCTCTCGCTATGGCTGTGCATCTCACTCTCTCTCTCTCTCTCGCTCTCTCTCTCGCTGCAGGCGCGTGCGCTGCAGTACTGCCTGGAGGACGACGTAAACTCACTCAGCGACGACGACTGGATCGTACATCTCGACGAGGAGACGCTGCTCACCGAGAACTCGATGCGCGGCATCATCAACTTCGTCATGGATGGCAAGTAGTGCCCCCTGTCCGTCCGCCCGTCCGTCTGTCGGCCCGTTCGTCGTGTTGAGTGGGCTGTGGAATGTGATTGGGCGGGGGGGAGGGGGTCTTTGTAAAATTGCATGATTTGTTTATCTGTTTATAGTTGGTGAATCATGGCGGCGAGAGTCGGAAAGTCTGTCCCCCTCCCTCTTTTTTTCTCTCACGCTTGGTTTGCTTGGTTTCTCTCTCTCACTCTCTATCTCCCCTCTCTCTCTAGCTCTCTTTCTCTCCCTTGCTCTCTCTCTCTCTCTCTCCCTCTCCCCTCTCCTCTCTCTTCCCCTATATCTCTCCCCCTCTCTCTCTCTATTGCTCTTTCTCTCTTGCTCTCTTTTCATCTATCTCTTGCTCTCTTTTCATCTCTCTCTCTCTCTCCCGCAGGTAAGCGGGACTTCGGGCAGGGCCTGATCACGTACGCGAATGAGGACGTCGTCAACTGGCTGACGACGCTCGCCGACATGATACGTGTCGCGATGGACATGGGCCGCATCCGTGCGCAGTTCCGCATCTTCCACCGGCCGCTGTTTGCGTGGAAGGGCTCGTACGTGGTGGCGCGCGCACGCGCCGAGCGCGCCGTCACGTTCGACCACGGCCCCGCCGGCTCGATCGCCGAGGACTCGTACTTTGCAATCGTGGCGGCGCGCGACGGCTACACGTTCGACTTTATCGACGGCGAGATGTGGGAGAAGAGCCCGTTCACCGTGCACGACTTTCTGCAGCAGCGCAAGCGCTGGATGCAGGGCATCTACCTCGTCGTAACGGCGTCGGCCTTGCCGTGGCGAAACAAGTGGCTGCTCGCCGTCGCACTGTACGCGTGGGTGACGATGCCGCTGGCGACGTCCAACGTCGTGCTCGCCGCCATCTTTCCGATCCCGTGCCCGCAGGTGTTCGACATCGTCGTCTGTTTCACGGCCGGCATGACGCTCTACATGTACGCGTTCGGCGTCGTGAAGTCGTTCAGCGCGTACCGCGTCGGCGTCGTGCGCCTCGCGCTGCTCTGCGCCGGCGCCATCTGCACGATACCGTTCAACGTCGTCATCGAGAACATTGCCGTGACGTGGGCGCTCTTCGGCAACAAGTACCGCTTCTACGTCGTCGGCAAGGAGCTGAAGCCGGCCGTCATCGTCTAGGCGACTGCTCCGGAGCAAGCGTACGCACGCAGTAACGTAACTCGAATCTCCGCGTAATGGTGTGGGGGGGGGGGCACTGGACAGTTGGCCCTTCTGTGCAGGTGGTTTTCTCTGTATAATGGCCATTTGAGGGAGATGCTTAAATTGACTATTCCGGGGGGGCGTGCGTCAACAGTTGGGCACAAATCTTAACTGCTTGACGTACGGTGACGATATTCGGGACGTTGGGGGGGATCGTCAAAACGGGTCAAAAGGTCAAAGGTGTTAAAAGAAGGGGACATTCCTCCTTAACTAAGGTATAGGGGAGAATGCGCAGAATTGCGGCACAAATCTAAACGGCTGCGAGCTAGGCTCGTGAAGTCGCTGTATAGCATCATGGTAGAGAAAAAGCCATCACCTGTGCCGAAATGGAGGGTCACAGTGTCAAAGGTCAATGGGGCACAGGGCAAATTAGACATGTTTTGAAGACGATGCGCTCTGAACGGAGCGATTGAAAACTTTTTTTGTTTCAGCGGTGACCTAGCATTTTCTATGCTTTATTGACAAGGACATGACATGTACTTTCTCGCTGACATGCACGAAGAGTAAGTTCGGATAACCTTTTGACCTTAACATGGGGTCAAAAACTGGTGGTTAACAGCGATTAAACATGCCGATTTGTTTACTGTTAGAAAGAATTTGACTGCCGGTATTGCCTAGTAAGAATCTATACATGCTGGATGTATGAGGCTACAGAGTCACAGTGAAATTTTCAAAAGGCTAAATTTGTGCAAAGAAGGTTTATGCTTCTTAAATGTATAACTTATCATATGGTATTCTGTACTGTCCAGTGTGTTTACAATGTATACTTATGCCAGCTTGGCAGTGCATGTGCGTGGTGATAGTTACTGTGTTAGTTTTTGCCTGCGTTAATTAGTTACTAGGTGCAGCTCTCTATTTTCAGCCTGTAGGCTTTGGCTACGGTAAATGGATGGAGTGCTTCCACGCTATTGCGCTCTTGCCAAATAAGTTTGTTGGTACTACGTACGATGGGAGCTGTCCATCTCTTAATCTAAGACACTTAAACGTACGCGCCATTCTGTGCCAAACTTTTGCATAACGATCAAGGGAACATTCTTTTGAGAGGTTGGCGCGGGGGAGGGAGGGGGTATCCTCACTGTGCCTTCCCTGTTTCGGCGCTGTATGTGAACACACATTTGGGACTAACATAGGTATTACTACCGAATTCCCCAACCCACCTTCCACCACAGAAGCACACTGCCATGTAGACCCGTGAGAATGAGCGCCTGGTCACTCCGCAGCATTGAATTTCTGTATAATGGGCCAATTGGAGGAGATGCTAAAATTGGACTATTCTGGGGGGTGGAGAGGCGCTTCAGTGGACAGTTGGCCCTTTCTGTACAGGTGGGTTTTTCTGTATATATTATGGCCATTTTTAAAATGGCAATGCTCAAAGTGGCTGTTGTGAACAGGTGGTCTTTCGATATCGTGTGGTTGCACTGTATAACGGCCAATCAGGGAAAATGCGAAAAATGTGGCCGTAACACGCAGGTGGCCATTGTTCTATAAAGGTTTAATCGTATAATCGGATTTAATGCATCATCGACTGTATAATAAAGCATGAGGGTAATAACACAATAATTGGATTATTGAGAGAATAATAATTAGGTTAATAGAATTCCCGCGTGACCTTGCTCTTGTCACAATATATATGTACCACGGCCATTCACTTTCACTTTACGTTGTACCTTTAGTGAAGAACGAGAGTCACTCCTTACTTTGGTGGATGACGCACTTTTGCGCTTGTCACCTCCGGCTATTCAACGTCGCACACGGACGTGCAGTCAGTGGCTCAGACGTCAGATTAGCACACTTGCACTTTTTAATTTCCACATATATTCATATAACATATCTGTCAACCGTCATCGATCATCGGTTGACAGTGAGCTCAAACCAGCAGTTTATGGTTATCAAATCAATATATAATTTAAACGGAAAAAATCGTTTTTCGAAACCTTGAATTTATGGAGCTCACACAGACTCACACTCAAATCGCTACTCTAAACCAAGTTACCTCCTTCTATTAACCATAAATAGATACATAATAACAACACAATATACACAGTACCAACAATCAACAAAAATTACAACCAGAGGCTACCCAAGCCAATACTTACGCAACCAGCACGTTAGCACCACAAGCACGGGCCATCAAGACAAAAACCACAGCACGTAAGAGAGAACTTGTAAGCCACGAGATCATACGGTTACTTGGGTCCAACCCGCGATGAATCGATTACGAAATTAACAACCGATTGAATTAATAATATTAATATATATATATATCTATCTATTATCGTCGTGTGTTGCAGGTTGCGTGGTTCGGGGGTGTTGACAGGAACGACGACTCGACCACCGTGCGTCTCCACACGCGACTGCAGGAGTTTGACGCGGCTATGCGTTGGTCGTACGCCGAAACGCGCGAGATTCCTGTGAAGACGCATAGATCTGTCTTCTCGCGGCCATGGCGTAACCGCGCCACACATTGTCGTGCGTGCCGTTGCATTTTTGTGCGTAGCCTTGTTCGTCGTGGTAGGTGGTGTCTTCGTGCCGCGGTCTGCACGGCAGTTCGTTTGCTTCACCGTGTGTTGCGGCGGCGCGTACATGGGTGCATTTAAGTGTGCATGCGCACGCGCGGGCGGCAGGTTTATGAGTACATGTGATGTTGTACGATGTTGTACGATGTTGTACTCGTAGCAGTAAGTGAGTTGTTTGTTGAGTAGGTTGTTGTTATCATATGTCATGTGCCATGTGCAGCGTCTACACTGCCAGAAATTGCATATATATATATTCTTGCAGCTAGGTATCCCCCTCCTCTCACCAAGCTAACCGATTTCCCTATTTACATAATGCCCTCATTGTCTACCCTTCTTTCCCGAGTGATTTGAATTTCGGGATATCTTCCTGACTTCCGTGACAGTTAACATATTCTGTTTGGTAAATTACTGTGTTGGTACATGCACGTTCCCCCAGGTTCTCTTGCAAATGACTTCAGTGTCTGTCTTCACAAATACGCCGAACAAAGTCCTCACAATTGACAAAATATCTGACTTATCTGAGAGGCAATAAAATCTGCTTCGTGCAAGAGTTTGTTCACGAATCCCTGGCTGGGCAGTAATACGAGGGCAGGCACAATGAGTGTATCTGTATAAACTCGAGAGCTAATAATACTATAAACAGGGTCCGTAGATGGTATATAATAACATTAAAATTAATATCATCTTGATATATAACACAATTGTTTCAATATATTTATGGATATGTTTTGTTTTTACCTCGCATAAGTAATATGATGAACCACTATAACGATAGAAACATGGAGATTTAATTTTCATAATTTTCCGAGCTCTGCTAATTTGGGCGTTTTATTAATTTTGTAATTTGGGCGTTTTGCTAGGGATCGTAAGTTGGGCGCCTGTATTCGATATGAAAAATGGCTTGGATTAGGTCCTGATAAAGGTATTATTAGCCATTGATAAAATCTCAGTGTCGTGAAAGTCGCAAACCTTTTATGCCCCGGGAAGGAAACTCCTGGCAGTTACAACTTCCCCCCTTGGGTGTACGAACGCGAACACTACGCGTGGGTGGCCAGCGTACCATGTGTGTTTGTTGTCGCAACGCCGCTGTCGCTGTACAAAACAGCGTGCGCCTGCAAGTGTCGTCTGCTATGTGTTGCGTGGGCGGGAATTGATTGAGGACTCTTGCATGCATGAGAAAGTGCACGGGTCGTCCCGCGGTCATTCATATATTTATCAGTACTGTAGCACGGTGCGCGTGCCGTCTTACTGACGCTGAGAGGGTCTATGTCCCCCAGGGTACTGACGCTGAGAGGGTCTATGTCCCCCAGGGTACTGACGCTGAGAGGGTCTATGTCCCCCAGGGTACTGCCGGAACGTACCCTGGTACTAAATACTAATATCTAATATCCCGGACCGTACCTCGCCTACTCCACTAACGAGTCTAGGGAGTCGCCTACTCCTTAACCCTAACTCTAACTCTAACCCTAACCCTATAACCTTATCCCTAATCATATCAGCTAGATAGTTACCAGGGTACGTTCCGGCAGTACCCTGGGGGACATAGACCCTATGAGCCTTACTGACACATGCACGCAAGGTTGATAGGATGTAAAGGTACAGAGTCCACTATGCTTCCTAGGTTACGCCACACAGTGGTGCGGGTGGTGGGGGGCATTGGGCCTACAGTCCTGTGAGAGGAATAGCCAGTCGTGTATATAGCAACCTGTCTTATAGACACATGTATATGAGTGTGTGTGTATCTATCGTGTATGAAAGTCGGTAGTGTTGTGGCGTGTCCTCACACTGCGTGTGCCGTAGCAGAACCTAGATTCGTATATATTCATCAGCATTTAGTGGTTTTATGTAGGCAAACCTTTCACGATTAAACCTACCAACAATCTTTACTGGTTCACCAGTGAACCCACTTAGTTTTGGTACGTTATTATGCTCTCGTGCGTCACGAGCCCAGAATGTATACACTGCTAATATGCTAATCGTGTTACACCCATTTCGATCAAATTTACACTTTTCTTACGAGTAGTTTATATTTTAATAGAAATGTTTTAACTGTACCAATAATTATTGCATAATCACGTTTAGTACAGCAGCGTGTGATCAGCCGTAACACAATCATGCCGAGACGTGAAATTAGCAGTACTTGTATCAGACATGTAGACAAGATTTGTACCGATATTATTTGTGGGTTTAACCCAGAAATCTCGCGAACGGATGCTTTCGTTGAGTGATCATTTGCTTCTCTCCGAAGCAATTTGCAGATGGGGTGAGCACCGCAATGTCACGATTTTCCGGTGCTTCAGTCATCGAAGGGTCGAGGAATCGATCTGCGCAGTTGCTGTACACTGGCACGGTTGGCATCTGACCCTATTTAGCGTCGAGTACTGATTATTGATTATTGAGAATTTATCTCGTTATCGCTGCTGCCTCGAGGCTAGCCTCGACGTCGTTTCTCTCGGGTGACAATTAGCCAACAGTAATTGCACGAGCCCTGCGGGTGTCGCATAGATTATCGCGATTTTCGCGCATTTTACACAGAGCAAACGGATTTCTCCGTCCTTCTAAAATTCCGTGTTCCAGGTGTGGAACCGTCGTGGATGATAGGCTACGGGCCTGCGCAGTCTTCCGAAATTGGCTATTATTATATTTGTTCTAAAAAAGAGGCAATAAAATTTGCTTCGTCTAAGAATCGCTGGCTGGGCGATAATAGGCACAAAGATTGCATTCGTGTTAAATCTCGCAATGTTGCCCTTATATCACGTTCTGTTATCATTGCAACTCGACGCTAGCCATGGCTCTTTGTTTTATCTTTATACACAATGCAGTTTGCATGAAAATTAATCATCGAAAGAAAATGTGAATGTTATGCTGTTGAAATAAGCTGGAGTTTTTCGTGTTTTCTTTTCTGAGTTTTGTATACTCTTGGTTGATACTGTGTACTATGTGGAAAATGTGAACACGCCAGGCAGAGAAAATGTAATGCCAGATGAGAAACTGAGAAAGCAAGGCCTATCGCTGTACATAATATTCATGTATTGCTTCAACTTGTACACATTAAAACCAAAGACTCTAGATCAATTGTGAAAATTCAAATGCAGCATTCGTGAACATTTACGATTGACACGACAGTTAGTCAACGTTGGTAACGAAAAGATGTACTAAAATATATAGTAGAATATAATACATATTCACAATTCAGTTCTGAAGAATTCAGGGCTGAGGCACAACACAATCCTTGAAAATTCATTACTACAGTACTACGACAGTTTGCATAATTAAATGGCAGGTGTTGTCACTTTAGAACACTTAGTCAGCACGACGTCATCTAGCTTGTTCGGTTGTCATCAGGGTCCGCTTTCACTATCAAGCCAGTTGTCATCTTCGTCCGCATCCGCTAGTTTTTCCCACCAGGGGGCGTGCAGCCCTGACAGGTGGTCGGCGTGCTGCTGCCGTGCTGTCATGGCAACGGGCGTGCTGCGTGAAGTGTATACATCAATGTCGGCTGCAGTCACATCGCTCAGCTTTGGCGCATCTGTAGATGCAAGGAGGGTAACATTCCGTGTTAACCGGGGTTGCGCGAATTTTCCCACACGTCATTTGTAAATTATTACCGTACCACCAAATTCGGGATAGGATAATGCACTCATACGTTATTCATAAACTATGAACCGAGGAAAACGGCGCGTGAACAAAGTTTCGGAAGTCAGTTACCTAGCAACAGCTGGGAGTCGAGTCGCAGCCTCGCGAGAAGGGCTTCGGCGTGCGTCTCCCGGCGACGGCGAGACACCAAGGTCGCCAGGTGGCGCTCGAGCAGCTCTCCGGCCTCCTGGTGTCGAGCCTCCTGCCGTTCGCGGCTACCGGCGTCGACCTGCGAACAGGCAAGTCGTCAGAGGAAAGTTTCGCTTACAGATGTGTATCGGCGGATGCAACTGCGCAGGCATACGCCTTTACTGTGTGACATGGATACACCCCCTGCCTCGTCGCAGTTCTAAAACAATCAGGGCGTGTACAGGGGGGGGGGGGGGTACAGGGGGTCCGGACCGCCCCCCCCTGGCTCGCGCAGAAAACGCAATCTCTAAGGGGGTCTAATTTCAAAAAATTTCATGGGAGGGCCACGCCAGTACCCCCCCCCCTTCGCGTGGCCGCAACTTTGGGTTACGGTTTAGACCTCGCCCCCCTCCCTGGTACAAATCCTGTACACGCCCCTGACAACATCTCGAATGAATCCAACGATAAACATCTGCGGTAACATATACGCTTGCCCATTAGCGGAGTTCTCACATATTACCCGGGCTCGTGAATAATCAAGAATTTGTGCCGTTGTAGGTCATATAAGATATCGAGAGGGGAATTTAACAGGAGAATTCCCTGCAACATTCTTTCGTTCTGCGAAAACGGAATTCCATTGTTCCCACTCGAATCGCTGCCGAGAACTCGACAAGCCGATCGGACTGCCACCTACCGGATGTTTGTATCTCCACTCCTCTATCTGTTCACTCAGCTTCACTCTCTCCTCGTCACTCAAGGGTGGCAACAGCTTCAGCTGCTGCCTCTGCCTCCGCTCCTCCCTCCTCCTCAGCCACCGCCTCACCTGTATAGATAACGAGTATTCATACAGAATCTCCACGAAAAGGACACGTAGCCATTTCATACTTTTGGCATACCACTATAGTATATGTGTTAGGAAAAGTGCTGTAAGACACGGCAGGGCCCGAATCGCACCATGGTACAGGCATTCTGTGGTTGCTCGCCATGATTTCTGCAGTGCTGACGATAAATAAATGATACGTACAGTGATAAACTGCCATGGGCTGCCCTACCTGGTATTACCGCCACGCCCTCCCCATAAACCTTGTGTAGCATATATATCCGTCTTTGTACCACATCAAGTGTTGTAAAAATGTAAATTGCAGTGATAACACTTTGAAAGAAACGTTTGCCTTTGTACTTCTCTAATTTGCTGTAGCACCATAAAATTTACGATTAAACTAAATACGACACTTGCCTTTCCCCTTAAATGAACTTTTTTATTTCGACCTCTGCACAGACGGCTGATATCCCGCGCATGTACAGTGTAAGTTCACATGGACTAGCACACATGCACGCACGCATGCACGCACGCACGCACGCACACACGCACGCGCACACATGCACGCACACACGCACGCACGCACTCACGCGCACACATGCATGCACTCATGCACACACGCACACATACTCACAGCGCGCTGAAGCGTGGACGCTGCTCGTTCCCTCCTCGCCCTCGCTCGTCGCCCGCTCAGCCTCCTCCTCTCTCGGCTTCCTTTCCAGCAGGCCTGGATTCGCGCGGCCGCCGCCTCCTGCTGCTGCAGCAAGTACCGGTCCACCTCACCTGGAAGCGTGCCAAGATCTCAATGATGATTTACGTAGGGACTTATCACCTGGCAACATGCCAAGATCATAATGATGATTGACATGGGGACTTAATTATCACCTGGCAACTTGCCAAGATCTAAATTATAATAGATATGGAGATACGTTACCTGGCAACATGCCAAATTTATAATGATGATTGACATGGGTACTTATCACCTGGTACCATGCCAAGATCTTAATTGTAATAGATATGGAGATACGTTACCTGGCAACATGCCAAGATCTTAATTATAATAGATATGGAGAAATCAGGAGTAATTAATAGAGTGGATAATCTCTATTATTCACTCCTGATATAGTGGTGAAACCCGATAGTTAGGGACAGCTCCTATGACGATCCAAGATAAAGGGCTAGTACGTTTTACAAGACGTGTGGAGGAGAGACCTGAACCCTCTCTAAGTGATGCAGACCCAGTGCATTACCCGAAGAGTACTGACCAGATTATTGCGGCGGAATCTGGGCGCCACTGAGCAATAAATTTAGCGACAAATAATTCCTCGATGCCAGTATTTTTCACGGCCATTCTAAGGACCTTACTGAAACCCCCCTCACCCTCACCAACCCCACTCATGCTAACCTGCTGGAAGAATCTCTATACACTGAAGCTGTCTCACACTCAGCCTCCGCAGAGCCTGTCGCCTGCTCTCGAGAAGCCGCTGCCGCAGCGCCCCCTGGCGCTGCTCTTCCGACTTTGATTGAGCGTTCTTCGCTTTCCGTTCTCTGTATGTCGCGAGCAATCGATGGCTGTTTGTTACATCATCACATCGTACGTGTTGTTACATCTTTACATCGTACGTGTTGTTACATCATTACATCGTACGTGCTGTAACTCTTCTATTAGCATCGTATCGTGTGGTTTACATCATTACATTGTACGTGTGATTACAATCTTTAACATCGTACGTGTTGCTTAACAAGTCTTTAACATCGTACGGTGTTGTTGGACAGTCTTTACAATCGTACGTGTGTTACATCTTTACATCGTACGTGTGTTACATCTTTACAATCGTACGTTTGTTACATCTTTACATCGTACGTGTTGTTACATAATTACGTAGTACGTGTCATTACATCTTACATCGTACGTCGTTGTTACAATCGTTTATCATGCGTAGCGTGTTGTTAATCTTTACATCGTACTGTTGTGTTTTTACATCCTTTACATCGTAATGTTGTCCGTTTTACATAATTACTATACGTCTTACAGTTCGTAGAGCGCAGGATTCCACAGAATGATAGCACGGCACTAGCGACTACCTGTATTGCTTGTGGAATGAAGCAAATGCCAAGTTTGCCTTCTCCAGCCTTCTTCTTGTCCTGTAGCCACGAAAGTATGCCTGAATTCTCACAGCAGCATTGTTGTGCTCCTGCATGTAAAAAAAACCATCTGGTATAATCGCAACAGCACTAAAAACAGCATAAAAGTGCACGTGGCTCACTCTCTCTCGTGTGCGCTCTCGCTCTCACTCTCACTCTCTCGCTCGCTCTTACTCTCCCCTCTCTCTCTCGTTAACTCTCTCTCTCTCTCTCTCTCTCTCTCTCTCTCTCTCTCTCACACACACACACTCTCCCTCTCCTTCTCCAATAAACACTCAAGTGTCCCTTCAAACCGCAAACCTGCGCACATCCAACGCGAAAAGCTGCATGACTACCACTCTGATTAAAACTCGCTCTCTCATCAGCTTTCCTCCGGGATAGTCAGATACTCACCTGCATCCCGGCAGCCTCTGCAGAGCCGGCCTTCAGGAACGCAGCAAGCTTCCCTTGTTCGGTGTTGAGTCCCTTGCCGTCCCACCTCCTGAGAACTGAGCCCAGGCCCCTACCGATGTGTGACGCAAACGCAAACGGATTATCGTCAGTGATCGACCCTCGGACAATCGGCGAACTACGTTGCAGGTGCACGTTGTGCGTTGCTTAATTAAAATTAAGGAACCAACATGTATAAAATTTACGGCCAAAACATTATTAGGCACTATTACAAATGTATCGATACAATTATTGTCATGGCTTGTATTGCAATATTATATCGATATAAATATCGATATAATATATCGATGAATCACCCCACCCCTAACTGCCACAGACAGGTGGTACCAGAGCAACACCTCCAGGAAACTCTCAACGCAGTGTTATAACTAGGCAAGGCGCAATATACCTGAATCGGGAACACAGAAGATCTATCACGCGACTGTCTGCCTGCGCCAGCAGTATCACGATCTGTGCCGAGCTCCTGCAACATCAAAACGCTGTAGCATCGTCAAGAGCGCACGAATCATCTCTTATATTTACATTTTTCTATAATCGTTCTTTTCTACATTTTTATGTATTATTTTAATATTTAAAAAAAATTTTTTTTATACATTTTATCTGCATTATTTTTTACATTTATCTATATAGTTTATGTGTTCATGTCCTTGTCTATCACTACCTAGCAGTCGTATCGAGAGTGACAGACGATAGTCATACTGTAGCATAAACGAATTGTCACACAGGCTGCGGCACACACGCACATGATTAACCATCAGATACGTTACTCAATGACCACTTACTTGCCAATGCTAGCATCTTTACTTGTACATAGCTTGTAGACAAGTTCGTCCAAGAGGCTGCACAGGACACTATCGGTAACCATGCCAATGGCATCACTGAAGGTGGAAAACAGGCATCAATAAGCTAGCATTGATCGCAAAATGTTTTTTCCGGTTTTGAAATCTAACTTAATACAATACAAGAAAATACCTAATCCTACACAAAAAAGAAGCCATTTTTAAAACATTTGTGCTTGTAATATTAATTCTATAATCTATATCTTCTACCAATCCAGGCACTAGTCGTCGTGTTTCATTTTCAAGTTTCATTTCGTATACGTTTTCGTGCTCTATATTGCGTGGTAAGAGGTAGGCCTACTGGAGTGAACAGCAAAGTGTCTGATAATATTAACTGTGATGCGTTAAAGGGATCGTTTACTCTAGGTTCTAGGGTTATTTTCAGTTAATTTAGGTTAAAAGTACGCAACATAAAAAGTTTCATGGTTCAATCACCATTAGAAATATTATTAAAAAATATTTTAAAACTAACGACTACAGTTTGTTTACAACAACGGTGGCGCCACTCAAACCACACGATCTGATGTTGCGCAAAACCACTTTTCAGCCGAGGGCTACAGATCGAGGGTGTTTCTTATTTATTAATTTAAAAGCAAAAGGATTGTAATATCTTATAAACGACATATAGTTTCAGTTATAATATGGATAAATTTGCCATAAAATGAATATTGTTCGGTTAAATAGCATTTAGGCATAAATATAATTGCACTTTTGTGACTGGCCCTTGGTTTGTAACGTGCAAAATAAATTGTCAAATACGCAACTTTTTCGGGGTGGCAGCACGGTCGCGGGTGTCATGGCGCCATTCAAATTTCGTAGCTTTGATGTGTAATTAATAATTATAACAATTAAATTAGGTATCTGGTAACAAATACGTGTGGGTATAGTTGATTTGTTATACAGTAAGTACAGTTGTATGCAGTAAAATCCTAGAGTCTACTATCCCTTTAATATAGGGAAGCATACCTTCCGACTGATGACGCCTCCTGTAGGAGAGAAAGCACTATCTGACTCGACTCAGCGTGGTCTGTGATCAGCAGCTGCAGTATCCGTGGCGATGACAGCACTGAAACGTGAATAGCGAGAGAGTGTTTCGTCGAACACGGGCGTACAAATGGCAGTTTGCAATAGAGCTGGGGATTTCTCTACAGAGAACAACACTCGCGCGTAAACTCACCATGCCGCACTACGGCGCGATGCCGGACCATCAGTCGCCGCACAGCCGCGCTGACAGCTGCCAAGTCCTCCCGCAAGCTGCTCCTGGCTTCCGCGTACTGCTCGAGCTGAGGAGCAAAAAAAAACAAGTGTCGCAAGCGTTAGCGCACTCCCTGCGAGTGACAGACGAGTGAAAGTCGGGCGGCGAATCCTGTGTGACCTAAGCTGTGAACTCTCTGCATTGCTGCGCCCTGTTAGGCACGATTTGCAGTGCGGATGAATGACTGGACGATGACAGCGGATCACGAAGGTCGTTGGATAGGTCACGATTACTTACGATTATCGTAAATCTAAAATGCCATAATATTTTTCACGGCACTTCACTTTAACGGTTATCACATTTTGAACTTATAGTAATTAAAATTTTAATATTATTTCACGATATTACCATGATTATAATCATTATTATTCCATATTATTTTAGTATGATGATTTAAATATTTAGGACTTGCGATGGGCGTGAAAACTCATAACCTTTCTGAGAACAGCCCAGTAGGTTTTCTAGGACATGTTAGGAACCCCTGCTAGCATACCCGGGGAACTTGCGACCACTTCTGCTGAACGTTTCCGGCAAGATTGAGTAAGCTCTCGGTAGCCGATGGAAGGAACTCGTCCCTGAATGTAGTGCTGTCCGTCTCTGGTGACTGCAGTTCCACTAAGCACCGACTTCACAAACCGTAAAAAAAAATTCATTTAACTCAATGAGCGAGCAAAAACAGTTATGCCAATGATGGCACACTGGCATGTAGCTCTAGGACTATAGTCCGCGTACAGTTGCCGCACGCCTGCGGCAACTGTACGCAAACTGGCATGTAGTATTAACTAATACAATGGTTGTGTGCCGGCATGTCAGGAGGCTGATATATTAAAACCTGCATCAAATGACGTCACCATTCACCACATGTTCATCATGGCATTGACAACTGTCACCATGCAATCACACTTTATTTTATAGGAAAGTAAGTCAATACGCCCGTGAAATGTCCTGCAGGATTACCTGATTAGCGTAGCGAGTTTTGTGGCTGTGTGCCACATGCCGGGCACCTGTGTGAAGTCTGTGCGCAACAGCCGGCTGCAGACGCGTAACAGATCCAGCCGCCATATCTCTCGGCACATCGACGAAACGCGTGTCGTATCCTGACATCCATCGAGCACGGCTAAAAAAATGAGTTACTGTACTAGTGTTACGTGTATATAATATATATATATATAAATATATATATATATATATTATAGTTGTTATTCATTATAGATACTGCAGCGCACAGTCTGCACTGCAGACCTAGATAACAAATAATGTAAAGCACAACAAAGTAAGTGAATTATAACGCGAGCCTATTTTTTCCTTTGGAGGAGCCCCTGAGTGATTCACTCAGGGCGGTTTTATGGTGCGTTTTTCGAGACTACAACTTCCAAACTGTGTTTATTCTAAACACGAACCTTTCTCCGCTATCCTGGGACTTACTATGTATCACAATACTCTGTATTAAACTAATAGTAATAATATAACCTGTTACTATAAACTCTGGCTGTGACCACCCTCAGTGCCATTCGGCTAAAAAAGGCTAACTACCTGGCTTTAGCCAACGCGCGAACGGCGAACGGCGAAAACGGGCGAGTAGGGTCGCTTCAACGCATTTTTTCGACACTTCCTGTTAACTCACATCATGTTTATCGGTTGAAATGAACAAAGAACACCCTCACCAGTACCCCTGTCGATTTTAAAGGGGCTACCCCCACATTTACGAAAATGACATAGGTTTCAATGGGCCCCATGTTCTCTATCCTTGAACCAAATGTTTTCACTCCTGATCGATGATTTTATAAATTACCCGTCAGAGCCAGAAGTTCCTGTGGAATCCTTCTGCTTTCTACCACGGAGACTCGTTCAGCAACCTTCAGGATGGCTTCCTTCCCCATAGTAGTAATTGGCAACCTTTCAATTCTTGTGATTCTACACTCTCTACATTTGACAATTTGAATACCGCTGCAAACACTCACTGACACAAAACTAAAACACCTAGCTACTGACCTTTGACCTGACTCAAGACAGCGCTACTTCAGCGCCATCTTTTGGTAACAAATATGACCCCGTGCTGGTTAGACTGGTACCCGGTCCCACCTATCGGCTTAGGGTTAGGGTTAGGGTTAGGGTTAGGGTACCATCGAGTAATCGAGGTGGGAGCGAGTACCAGTCTACGTGCAGGGTTAATATGGTAGCCCCCATGTCCAGTCCATGATGATGACTTAGGAATGGAGATAGACTAATAAATTTCATATTTTACTTGTTCTTTATCCATATTAAGGTACCACAGGTAATTGCTTTGGTACGTGATGCATACAGTCCTGGTCCAATGTTTAGAACGAGGATCGGTTGAAATTATTTGGTTGGTTTTGAGGTGGCTGATACTACAAATTACAATGCGTAACGCTGAGACTGAGAGTGCGAGCACAGCCACGGCACAGGCACTTGAAGCCGTTTCAATAAAATATAATGCTAACTAAATACGAAATCTATTTACTTAGTACAAAATTCTTAATGTTTCTATACTATAGCCAGGCTTTGTCTAGGGCGAGCGTGCGGTGTACTTGTGTGTTGCAGATGAGCATTTCACCGGCATTTACGGGTAATTATCACTGGCAGCAAGATCAAGCCCGCACGTACAGCACACACGCGCGCCATTGACTATATATATACATAGAGTAGAGAAACATTAAAGGCCAAGACACACTGCAGCGACAGCGACCGACCGTAACGACAAACGACAAAGTCGCGGCGACTGGCGCAGCCACACTGCAGCGACAACGACCGACCGTAACGACAAAGTTCACCTAGCCCTCACCACAGTGCCAGTGCCAGTGGCACACATGAACAAACGGCAAAAATCTCCTGCTGCTGCTTTTAAATTAATTGCTGTAAAAACGCTCTATGTATAACGATAATATAATAAAGTAATATATACGCAGCATATTATACGAACGTCTGCACGTTTTGGTTAGATGGGTTCACGGCCCCACTGTTTCTGACAAGCGGTGCGAATTTAGCGCTGGGGACCAGTCTACTTCCTGGCTATAGCATTGGTTTATAATTTTATGACGTAATGGCAATGTCACGTGCCGATGCAAACGGCTGTGATTGGCCATTTGTAAAGTGTCGCCGGCGAAAGTCGCTGGGAAATAGAAACGTTTCTAAACATTTTTGTCGTCGAGGTTGTCGCCGGTCGTCGTCGCGTCAGTGTGCAATGGCTCATAGGAAACAACAGTTTCTAATTTTCTGAAAAGTCGTTTGTCGTTACGGTCGGTCGTTGTCGCTGCAGTGTGTCTTGGCCTTAAGACTGGTAGTAAATATACATTTCGTGTTTACATTTTTTTTTTTTATTGAGACGTTCCAAGTGCCTGTGGTCACTGACACTGGCAGTAACTGAGGGAATTACTCAGGACATTATAGTCAGTACAATCACTGAATCAGACCCCGACTGCCTCTCACAATACAAATAGTGCTATATATAGCCAAGAGTAGATAATAACACAGTGTTATTATCTACTCTGATATAGCCTATAGCTTGTTAAGATATCGTGACCAAATACTGAAAATGATTAATATTCAGATACTTGATTCACATCCCTACCCTAAAACTTAATCCATAATTGCCATTACTGTTTACAGACCTAGCTGAGACCGTACACTCCAGCTGATCCACTCAAGTTGCGGAGCTCTTCACTCCGTCGTACATCCAAGCATTGCATTTATCCGGTGACCAGACCCAGGGTCAACTTTGCACAGTGACAA